TTTTTCTCACTATATAAATGAAAACAAATATAATTTAAATACACAAACAATTAACATACAATCACTCACTCATATAGGTAGGTACTCAACAGTAACACTGTCTGACCACATCGTAAAATTGTATACTATTTTAGATTATAATTATTATTATACCTAATAGATAATATTATTATTATTATTACTTTAATGTTTATACTGCATACTATGTCAATTTAATAATATTGAATTGGTATTGATTGTACATGTTTTTCTGTGAATACCCACCCTACACACAATATTTAACTTTGTCGTATCAATTGTATTTAAGTAACTCGTTCTCAATAGTTTCAATTTATAGTGAGGTACCATCATACGATTATCGTTTTACTTCCGTTCTTTTTAAGACCTCATCGACAATATCTCAACAAAATTTTGTCTTTAAAAGTCCCAAACGTCATACAGTTGCTAAACAAAGCATAATACAATTATTACATTAAAACAAACATAATAATGTATTATAATATTCCACCGAGGTCCGTATTAATTAATTAATTTTATTTTAAATTAATTTAATCTCAGAAAAAATATTACATACCTATAAGAACCCGAGCCCATATATTACATTATGACCTATAACATCGTGTTCTTATACTGCATATTATATTTTATATTATAACGTTATAGAAATAAATACAATCCATGCAGTGGCATAGCTTGGAATGTTATGAGTGAAGGGTGGGTTTTAACACCATTAACCACCCGTGGCTACGCGTCTGCGACCATCCATATATAGTAGGGATATACAACAGGTAGGACCTACAACAGGATTCGGTTTACTTTTATTCAATAAAAAAAATAAATGCGAAATTTCACTTCTAAAGGTACACTGCCAGTCCGGGGCATGGTTGGCGTTTCGATAATGCTTAGTCACAGCTGTCGGATGCTGCTAGGGAAATATGTATTTACATTCCATTTTTCATTTAATAGAAAAATAACAAAATAAGATAAATTTTATTTGAAGATTACGAATATCACGAAATCGATTTAAGACAATCATCAAAGATAAATTAATATTTTCTTTATAAATGGTCGGAGCGTGAATTTCCGTGATAGGCCACATGTAATTGTTATGGTAGAGAACTTCCTGTTATTGTAGTGGTCCTGCAAATATTTTATAACAATAAATAGTAATGTCTAGTCGTACAACCGTAGAAATGTTCAGTCTTTTTTGTATATCGTGCACGAGCCAAATATGTTAGAATTTTGTTTTCTACAAATACTTATTTTAGTATGCTGAATTTAAAAGTGTTTAAAAAAATTTTCATAAACTTACTGTTCAAATTAAAGTAAAGTAGTCCAGCGTAAAACAGTTTTTGCTATGATGTACATTTGTAAAATGGAGACAACACATGCGGGTTGAGTTCTCAGCAAGCAATAATCGTAAAGGTATATTGTAATATTTACAATCAAGACTTTTAAACGGTAATTTTCAGCAAATGTTTTCAAACACTTTTAAAATAAGCACTCAAAATCACATATTTTGTTTCAAAAAAGTGTATCAGGTAAAATAGATTTGTTCTCAAATTCCTCAGGTCGATTAAATTGAAGAACGGCCTTCAAAAATATACTATTATATTCTAAAATCAAATTAAATAACTATTAAATATAATTTAATATCAAATAATACAGTGATTCACAAATAATCATTTGTAAACAATGTTAGCAGCTATGTGTCTAATTGTAAAATAGGTATTAGCAATTAGCTGTAATGAAATAACCATCACATAATATTTCGTTTATATTGTTATTTTATATGTTGGACTCTTTAATATTATAGGTAGGTACAATTATTATATATTGTTTTATATTTCATATGCTTAAAAGTCCCTCATTGATTTTTCGATATCAATTATCCTATCAAACTCCAGGATTCGGTGCTGACCAGTTGTACGGAAAATAGGCAATTTTCAAAATATACGAATGTTTACGTAGGTATCGTTGAATGTCATCGCTCAGTCATCACACAATATTCAACAATCATGCGTCGTCGACGCCGAGCGTTAAACTAATATTATTTACTTTGTTTATTTATTTCACCTAAAAACATCAATATTTTTTGCGTTGTATTATCAATAGATAATATAGTTTTCCGATGAAAATTATTTGAAAAATTACTTAAGACTCAGAGTAAAATATAAAACTGAAATTGATTTTTAAACCGTGCCGCTACAAACTTTGAATTTAGTAAAGACATTAACAATAATAAAGTAAACTTTACTATATTTACATAATTTATCAGAAATACGTTTTTTTTTTTATAAATAATATACTTATGTATACCTACTAAACATTTTCAAATATTTTACTTTGACTTTGAATACTTGAAAGTTAAAAATATGTGCAGTTTTAAATTTTAATTATATGAAATATTTTATGTAATACGAAATACAATTAATCCCTTTAATCATAGATAGGTTAAATAAACATTTAAACCTTATTGTAGATATTAAAAATGTTTTTATATATTGATGAGATAAACAATATGATTTATAATGATATAAGAGTTTCTTTCTGTATTAAAGATAGGTATTATTTTTCTATACAGAATATTACTTATAGCTAGCATTGTTTTTCAGATGTTAGGTAGGTTTTTCGTCTTTAGTTGTTTTGTTGTTATAGACTCAATTACTTCTACAGTTTTATGCCTTTATCTGTGACATAATTTAATATTTATAGTTCAAATGTTTTTGTAAATTAATATGGCTTTTTGAAAAATCTTTATTACGACCCAATCTAAAGAGTCTATTTTCCGAAAAAGTGCGTTGACGGCATACCGTCTAAATATTTTTTAGTATTTACACAATATTATACATATATTATCAAATCATCAATATCTTTTTCTAGAAATTAATTTTCATTTTCTATATTATATAGATGATGAAAGTAGTGTAGGTAAAGTAAATAATTTTTATTAGATTTCGTCATCATTTGGAGATGTTACTATTTTATTTTGAATTACCAGTGGCACAGTCAGGTCCTTAAAAGCACATGCACATAATTCAGATACTAAATACCATGACAGGTGACATACCACATAATTTTATAACTGCAATCTTTCAAGGTAGGTATAATGTAAAAGTTTTTTTTTTATAAAAGTGAATCTTTCAATTCTTGTTTTGATTGCGAGAGTCGAGTTAAACCTCATTTTAATGTAGGTATAAACGTATGATAAGATTATAAGAACAATACCTGCTTATTTTTGGATGTTAATTAAAATTGATCGAGAAATAAATATTAATTAGGTATATTATAGGTATAATAATACTATGCTTCTTGAAAGTAGATATTAGTATATTACAAAAAGTTTATTTCATATAAAAATTATTATTCATAGTATTGAATTTTATATTCAGAATAATTTGTCTAAACTATATGTATACTGGCAAGTTGAAATAATCGGTAAGAATTTATAATTATAATATAAATACGGTACTTATTACCTAATACCTAAGCAGTCTTGTAAAGAATATTTTTATTTTGTTTTCGGAATACATATTCGAATAAATGAGAATTAAGGTACCTATTCAGAATACGTATTCTAATAGTTCTTAAACAATAACTTAAATACTTTAAAAAGCATTCGAATACTATTAGAATACTTTTTTTCACAAGTAGTTTTTGTCAGTTTTTGAATGGTTGGTAATTAACATTTATTAATTAATAATTAAAAATACATCGTAATCATAAGTTATTTATACATTTTTACCACATATAATAATGCCGATACGGGCCATACGGGATACAACACATAAAATAATAAAATAATCATATCATGGGCCATTATTATCTTTCATTCAAAGAATAAAATTAATGTTCATGATTTATAATATGTCTTGTCACAAATTTAAAACTATTTTTCTAGATCGGAAAAAAAATTTTTTTTTAATGAATTAAAAATACAAATAAAAGTATTCAGAATACGTATTTGAATACAAAAACAGTATTCAAATCATCGAATACATTTATTCGAATACTTAACAAGACTGTAAGTACCTACTTAAAAATCTGTTTATATTATCTAATCTACCAATAACTAAGTAACGTATCGTTGTAAAATTTCTGCGAAACCTAAAGCCGGATTCACAGCTTTATTGTGTACTTGTATGTCGTATAGTGTCATTAAAATCGTATTGTGATTGGACGTTACTTTTTTTGATATCATGTAATAACCAAGTTGCAGCTAAGTTTACCAAGAGGAAAGAATTGACTCTCGACAGACATACAATGTAGCCATGAATCTGGCTTAAGGAGATTGTATACCGATGTAAAAATATAGTGTTGGGCTTTGGGTGATCTTATTTTGTTTTTGAAAAATGCTCTGAAAATTGTTGTTTATTCTACTAGTAATCGATCGGGGCATTTATTCTCTAGGTTATTAAAATTCATGATATTTAAAATTAAAACGGTTTTTTTTTTAAAACATTCACAATAGTTTAGACTATAGCAGGTAGGTACTATAAAAAAACCCTCCGTCAATCACTAATAAACAAATCAAGTAAATAAGATATATTTTTTTTAGAATTAAAATCCAACCGTTGAAAGTCATGCAGTTTTGTCTAGCTTATTATACTTTTGACCAAAAAAATACAAAATTATTAATACCTGTGTAATGCCTTATTGACATGTACGTCCACTATTTGTTTGAAACACAGCCACTCACGCTAACGATCACTTAGGTACTGTGCACACATTTACACACATAGAAAATTGCCTATATTGAACTCTTTAAAAACAATCGGTATCGAATCCCCTTAACAGTGAAAGTATAACAGAAAGATAGATAACATAATATGATAACTTAATTTGACATATTTTTGTACTGCCCTTAGATCATATAGAAGTGAAGCTATAACAACAACAGATAGTGCTAACATATACAATTGTCAGTTGAGACAGTTGAGGCAGTGTTATTTTTGCGCTCTGCTTACACAATTTAAGTGGCGGGAAAATAAGAAAAAAAAATGGATCAGGCATTATTTGCGATAGTGATTCCGAAGCTTGCAAGGAACATGCACTTTCTGGGGATTTTGTATGCCACTATAATTTATTATTACCGAGGCGATGTGGCAGACAATACTACATCGGGCATCAAAGACCTTCCAGCGGATTCAATCTTGAGCCATTATGATTTCGTAATCATCGGCGGTGGAACGGCAGGTAAAAATAATACATATTACATCGTTATTACCTTATAAAATCTTAATAATATAATATGTGAGACTCACATTGTGAGTTGTACTGTTACGTCCGTAACATTTATTATCACGACATCGTGACATCGTGTCGATAATTTGTTCAAAGTTAAATACCTATATGTTTAATATGATATAAAAATACAAAAAAATTTCAGGTGCGGTGCTGGCGAGTAGACTAAGTGAACATGATTATTGGAATGTACTACTTATAGAAGCCGGTGGACACGAAACGACATTATCAGAAGTGCCTATGTTGGCTGCCCACCAGCAACTCTCCGATATTGACTGGAAATACAAAATTGAATCTCAAGATACAGCGTGTTTGGGTGAGTAATATAAATTACTAAGTATCTTCATACAATAAATAAATATATACGGACATTTGTAGACTCAATATTATATTCTTAATTTTTGTAGGTAATATCTCGGTCTCACAATAATGTGGTATTATTTAAATGTTGTACTCTTTTCATAAACAGTGATTCAAAAGTTTTTTAAATTTTTTCTACATTTTGAAAATGACACAAATGTTACAATTTTTAATTTTCCAAATACCTATAAGTTAGTTATCCTAAAATATGAAATATACCTACCTACAGCTAATCTGGTCTTAAGTTTTATAAAATGTATTTTATCCTATAATCATAAAAAAACATAGAAATTTTAACTTTGCATTAAATTGTGCATACTATGCGTTCATACAAGATATTTCTCATTGTACTTAAAATGTTGAAAATGTCTATAAACATATAGTAGGTATATATAATTATTATATTATATTATAATTATTTACAAGCATTCATAGGTACTTACACATATACATACATAAACTGTACTACTGTACATACTTAAATATTTTATATGTAATTAATTTAATAGGTATATTATATTATATTTCAGCTATGAATGAAAAAAGGTGTAGGTGGTCTCGGGGCAAGGTTTTAGGTGGGTCCAGCGCAATAAACAATATGTTGTATGCACGTGGAAACCCATTAGACTTTGAAGACTGGACGAAACATGGTCATCTTCAAGGTTGGGGGTACAATGACGTGCTCCCATATTTTAAAAAATCTGAGGACAACAAAGACCCGTCCTTAGCGGATACTACATACCATTCGGCTGGCGGCTATCTGACGGTGTCGAATGCGTCGGCCAATACCCCACTAGCCGAAGCGTTCATGGAGGCCGTACAAGAAATGGGATACGATGTACACGATATCAATGGCCAACGTCAAACGGGTTTTATGATACCACAGGGAACTATTAGAAACGGTTCAAGGTGCAGTACGGCTAAGGCATTTTTGAGACCAGCGAGGCTGCGAAAAAATCTGCATGTGATCCTTAACACGCAAGTCACACGCATTGTCATTAATAATGAAACAAACTATGCGACCGGTGTCGAACTGTTCAAAAATAACACTAGGTATTACGTTGGGGTGGAAAAAGAAGTGTTGCTGTCGGCGGGCCCTATCAATTCTCCACAGCTCCTTATGTTATCGGGCATAGGTCCGGAAAAACATCTGAAAGAAATGGGTATACCAGTTATTTACAATTCAAGCCACGTAGGAAAAAATCTACAAGACCACATCGGACTTGGCGGACTGATGTTCTTGACCAACCAACAGGTGGTACTTTATTAATTAAAAATAATAAAAAGTTATTTTATTTTTATCTTATAAAACTATTGTAATGACAGTCGTTATACATACACACTGCACTGAATTATAATTTAACCACATGATCTTTTGCTGGTTGTTCAGGTGTCACTAACGCATAACAGAACGGAAACCGCCAATGCGGTATACAACTATGCAGCGGAACGCAATGGGGTACTAACGATTATGGGTGGTGTTGAAGGATTAGCCTTTATTAATTCAAGACCCGGCGGCAATCTATCAAAAGAACAACCAGACATTGGGTTGAACTTAGTGTCTGGTTCCACCGTTACTGGTCTTAATGGATTCAAAACGTGGAAAACTCACGGGCTAAAAGAATTGTATTATGATACCATGTATAAATCGATTCTTTACAAAGACGTTTGGTCTGCTGTACCTGTAAGTAAAATGTCTTTAAAAAAAATATAAAAAAGGAAAATTTCAGATTTAAATTTTATAGAGTACTAGTTTTCCCGCCCATCGTAGAACGTAAAAAAGATTAATTTTTTTTTTAAACTTCTATATAGAAACGCGCTTCATATTATGTACCTTCAAACAATGTCAAGGAGCTTACAAACAACTAAAAATAACTATAATATTATTAGACTGACGTACGATGCACATATACATGCACATTGTACTTATTCAATCAGCCCGATCTTCCTTTGGGTGATAAAATGTAAATAATTAAAAACACAGCTGGCTGCACTGCTGAGTCGTGCACATGCACTTTATGTTTAAAAGAGGCAACGTTATCAGTAAAATTGTTGTAGGAAAGAGAGGTCCAACCAGTACTATTTTGAGCAGCAGAGTCTGAGCAGACTCTTATATAGTATAGATAATATCAGAGTCGATACGTAAGGTAACTAATAGGGAACACATACGTGCTTAATCAAATCATTTTCATCATACTTAAATTTTTTATGTATCGATAATAATTTATGCTAGGTAGGTACTTGCCTGAATTGTTTTCCAATTTATTTGTTTTTCATTAAATGTTTCACGTAGAAATCGAACACGGATTATTCATTGCACAGATTGTTTTTGATATTTATTTGTACTTGGTGCGCTTTTCGAGGAATATAATTTTTTTTAGTAAATTAATTTTGATTATTTTCTTTAGATATTTAAAAAATAAAATAATAATTTCATAGACCTATATTACCTGAAAGTATTATGTTCACTTTATTAAAATTGTTGTCTAAAATCTGAACTGAGAATATTCAGAGTCCAATAGGCAACAATAGTGAGTACATACTGAACCCCGGACCCACCCCCATCCGTCTCTAAGCTCCGTGGAAATAATCAACATTTCATTATTGTACTTCTGCAGATATTGTTGAAACCCAAGAGCCGTGGTGAAATACTGTTGCGGAGTGCCGACCCGTTCGAGTATCCGAAGATCGTGGCCAACTACCTGACGGAAAAAGAGGACGTGGACACGCTAGTTAGGGGCATTAAGTTTGCTTTGGATTTGGCCGAGACAGACCCTCTCCGCCAGTTCGAAAGCCGTCTGCATGACGTACTGTTCCCCGTTTGTAGTGCCGTGGTGCGACACTCACACGACTTCTGGGAATGCATGGTTCGCCACTACACCGTGTCCTTAAACAACCAGGCGGGTACAGCTAAAATGGGTTTCAAATGGGACAAGACCGCAGTGGTGGACCCAAAGCTCAACGTGTTTGGCGTCTCCGGGCTCCGGGTGGTGGATGCGTCTGTCCTACCAACGCTGGTCTCCGCCAACAGCAACGCAGTCGTCATTATGATCGCGGAGAAGGCTGCAGATATGATCAAGGCTGCATGGCGCCATGAGCCCGCGGTCCACAATAAGATAGTCTCAACGAAAGCGAAAATAATAAACGATCCATTCATTATTTATTAACATTTTTGTTTTTTTTTTTTTCTAACATATTATAATAATATTATCATAATAATTTGTGGAAAATGTCAGCCCACTGTTTGTCTCTGCCCCATACACAAATACGAGATAACACGCATTCACTCAATCTTATTTTTTTAAACTTAATGTGTGATCTTAGAATACAATTCACCATTACAAATATAATTGAGACTAATATTATTTCAATTTTCCTTAATATTGTCTCTAAACAATCTGGTGTCCATTTAAAGTACGAACATTTTTTTCATTTTTAAGTCAAATACAAATAAAATATAAAACTCATTATAAAATGTCAAATATTTTCCTCGATAGTTTTTGTAATATGTGACTAAAAATTCTAAGATTATTTAAAAACCATTTAAAATGAATGCGTTGTATCTATGTTCTATGTTGGGAGAATGAAAACAAATATTGCACTGAAATCCTTCAGTCAAAATATTTTGAAATTTTTACTTTGTACAAAAAATATATTAATATAAACATTCGATGATAATGTCATTTATATACTATATTGTTTTTTTTAGTCATGAGGATGCATTTTATTTGCTTTCGTAATAATTCTATAAATACCTAATTAAAAAAAAAAATTATACTTCATCGAAAGTCAGCTAAATTAAACAGGAAAGCTCAATAGTAAGCTGTACCTATAGATTATCGCACTCAACTACATCAATCATTAATATTATCTAACTCTAACACATTTACTGAACAATCATAATTTTTTTAAGAGTTACTATTATTTACGGGCAACGAAGTGCATACTGCACAGTTAAACTATAAAGTTACGTAAAAACAGCATGGAGTCCGCGATCTACAGCAGGTAGATTGACTAACTGATAATGTGCTGCTGAGAATCAGATTTTTTATTCCGCGCAACGGGAAAGTTTAGATAAATTTTGAACACCATACAGAAAACGTTATATAGTAATATTATTCATAAGTATCGCCATTTAGATGATAATAATAAAAAACTAATAAATTCCTTATGCTGTGCATCATGGTTTAAATATACAAGGTTATTGCAATAGTGCCCCCACTATATCATTTGATCACGTTAAGTAATTGAAATTTCAGCCTAAGGGGGCGACTGATATACTGGCTATTAGAGGTCTGTTCAGTCCTGGGTAAAAAAATACCAGACCGGGATCCGGGTTAGGTCCGGTCTGTCCAAATTTTTTTTATATTCTTGGTTTAGGTGTTCGGTTTGGGGCACAGTCATATTATAATGGGTTAGGTTTGGTTAGTAAATTTTTTAATAGAACCGCGGTCCGTCCAAACTTTTTCTCATTATAATGTGATAATTAGGGCACGAATTTAAATGACCTTTCAAAAAATGCATTATTTATTAAATAAATTCAAATTATTATTCAAAAATAAGTTAAAAATTAAATTACATTTGCATTGCACTGTACAATAAGAATTTCTTTAATGTTTTGGAATTTAAACTATCGAAGGTTGTCCGCCAATAATTATTTTACCTACTGAAAATGACCTCTCTACATCAACTAAGGTGATAGAAGCAAACTTGAAAAATGTAACTCGTTAGGTGTTGAGTCTTCTGGAATAATATTTTCTGGTTTAATATCTTCTCTTTCTAATATTTGGCATATTTTTTTTATTTGGTTAAAGCTTTTATTTTTATTTAAAACATTAACAAATTTTAAAATGAAGTTCTTTAGATTCTGAGTGGAACGATGAATGTATTGATTTTACAATGATTTTTTTTAAATTTTTAAATTTTTTGTTTGTGTCTGTTCATCACCTTTTAGGACAGTAAAAGTGATTGGATTTTCTTCAACAGTATCTTTTCTGATAGAAAAGTGAATCTAGTTGGTACTTTGGGGGGGTCAAAAGTAAAAAGTTGTTCTGCTGTACAATTTCTACTAGAGATCGGTCAGTCTTCATATTAAGGTTTCTGCTTTAAATTCCGAATAAATCCAGATAATCAACGTTTGAAAATTCCGAAATTAAAATAACTGTTTAATATATTATAAAAAATATTAAATCGTCAGCAACGTTTTTTCCCGACTAGCCCCGCATCGTGCCACAAAAAACTTCGTTTCAAAAAGAAATGTAGGTAAAAGTATGACAATTATAGTCGATCGTAAGTTATAAGTATCAATATTGCATACACTAAACGCCGTGTTACATTAAAGATATTTTGCGAAAAAATGGAAAATGAAAATGTGCCTAAACAGTTCAAAATAAATCAAAATATTTTGAAAATGTTATCGTGTATAGGAAATGCTAATATAAACATTCAGTCAAAATTTCATGTACCTACGGTCATTTCTATAAGAGTTACACCAAAAACCAAAATCGATTTTATCGAAAACAGATTTTAGTGTAAAAATTCCCGTTTTTACTTAATTTTCATTTTGTTATCGCTTTTGAAAACTACTGGGAAATTTTCACTTTTGACTCCCCCATAGTACCAACAAGATTCACTTTCCTATCAGAAAAGCTACTGTTGAAGAAAATCAAAGCATTTTTGCTGTCCTAAAACGTGATGACAGACACAAAAAAAATAGAAAATAAAAAAAAAACACACATCATTGTAAAAGCAATACATTCATTGTTTCATTCAGAACCTAAAAAAAAAAAACACACATCATTGTAAAACCAATACATTCATCGTTCCACTCAGAATCTAAAATGAGCGCTGGCATGGGACATCCGGTAGAAACAAAATTTCTTTTCCAACAAATATTATAGATTACAAATACATTTAAGTGGAACCATTCAAAATAAAAGCAAATGTGAAAAACAAATGAAAATGAAAATGATTATTATTACCATTTAATCACTATTATATTAATCATATTCCATATACGAAATTACTGGCCTGTGATAACTGAAATATGATACGTATGTTTGTGATGTAATTTTTTCCAAATACCTTGAAAATACTGAATCGATAGTGGTGTCATCTTGTTGTAGTCTTGTAGATTCTGCTGGATTGTTTATTATAATACGACGTACCGTACCTAAATTGAATGTGTCCATAAGGAAAGTATTAAAAGCTTCCGATTTCTTATCATTAAAATTGATGTTAAAGTCACCAAATTGTTATATTTTATAAATTATAATAATTATAAATGCATAATATGTAGATCTTATTACGCTGTTTCAAATCCTATCGCGTTATAGGCAGAGGCGGATCTAAGAATTTTTACGCCCGGGGAAAATATTAAAATTAAGCCCAATCATAGACCAAGATTGAATATACAAAATCATTCCCTACAATTGTTTTATCATAACTGGAACTAAAATTACAAACATACTTATTAACTTTTAAACATATAATAATATATAGTAATTAATATATTCTGTGGACTGTGGTGTAACCAAATTTATACTAATAAACTATCACACATTCACACCAAAAACACTTTAAATTTAAAAACTTAGTTAACATATTGTTGATACATTTTTAATTACTGGAAATACTGTAGTGATTACTTAATTGTATTTATTATTAGAAATAATAATAATATTAGTTATATATAAATGTTGAAAAATAATCAAAACTTTAATTACCTACCTATCCTGTATAAAATTTATAAACCCTTTTACTGTTTGGTTCTATGCGCCTCAGCCTTCAATTATAATAGATTTTTATGGTAAAATATAAAATCTTTTATTCTGATTAGGGTACACAATTTAGGCCAGTAAAAAATTGTATTTAATTAAACAATTTATAATAGAAAAAATGAAAAAGTAAATATTTAAAATCAAATCTTTTTTTTAAACATAAACAAATGTATAACTATCTCGGTAAATATTATAAACTATATATTAACATCATTTTTAATATACAGATATAATATACGTATCGTACGTTGATTGATAATCTTATAACAGTTATTGTGTAGGTATCAGAAATTTTAACGAAAACACAGCATCAATAAAATATGCCTAGGTATAGTTACTAGTTACATTTTCACTCAGAATCTTAATAATTATAGTATATTAGTTGTATATGAATATGCTTGCAGTAGGTATGCTAATGCCAGTATACCAGTATATACTTAGTATAATACTAATACGAATCTATTCATAATACCATTAACTTTATTTTTTTTTTCATTAATTCCAACGTCATCACTACAACATCATAAACAAATAATGTGAAATAAAAATGTTTTCTTAACTTCTATCACCAAGCATTAAATAAAGAACTAAAAGAAAAATTACGCCCACTAAAATTTTAAGTCCGGGGATCAATCCCCGGCTTCACCCCCCTAGTTCCGCCACTGGTTATAGGTACCCGTTTTCTATTACCTAGTCTATACCAAACGCGACACACAAAAAAATTTAATCGAGGCAAAGGTAAAGCACTATACAGGGTTATATGTAACAATCTGATTATTCTACGAAAACAATTTCATGAAAAAAAATGGAGATTATAATATGTATATTATAAGATGTAACCAAAAGTTTATGTTTTGTAAGGACGGTGATATTGAATTCAGTGTCTGGTTGTGCATGGAATACACGTGATATAAGCGTCCAGCACTTTTGAGGATTTCCACTTTTTCCCCCGGCACTATGGGGATTCCCATTCTCACTTAACGGCCTGCTAGACCGAAAAAGGACACTTTCCGACGCTTCAACCGCTGTCGAAAACCAAACTTTCAGTGCAGGCGTGTCAAAAAATATATTACTTACAATTCAATACTTATTGAATTTATACTATATATATGCTTATTAGTTATTACTTATATATTTATTAATCACTATAATTATAAATACATAGTATACGTAGTGTAGTGATACATAAATTATCAATAATTGTATTATATTATCAATATAATATGAAAGATATTTATAAATTATAAATTATAATCAATCTCGGACCGTCACTACAACTTAGAGCTCCCGTTTTTTTTTTTTTTGTTCTTTTTTGTTCAATCGATCTAATAATGCGATAATATTTCTGAAAACTGAGCTGAATTTGTTAGAATTTCTACTAAAGATCG